TGCTAAGTCACTTCAGTCGTGCCCGACTCTTCGTGACCCCATGGACTGCAGCCTACCAGGCTCCGCCATCCGTGGGATTTCCCAGGCAAGAGTACTGGAATGGGTTGCCATTGCCTTCTCCGACAAGATGCCCGAGTCCCCCTCCATATCGCCATCAGACAGAACCAGGGTTTAGACCTGCATCTGATGATTACCAGCTGTGTCATCTTGGGCACATTCTCCTCTCTGAGCTGTTTCTTTGCCTGTAAGATGAGGATAATAATCACCTCATGGGATCATTGACTCCTTCATGAGATGATGCTTTCTGCAATGCAGCTGGTGCTGGGTGAGGCTTCATGAATGGCCATTCCTGTCCCTTTTTCTCTTACACTTTTCAAGAGCACCTCATAGGAAATTCTTCCACCATGCTACAAACTGTGGGCCTCCTATGTGCCAGGCACTGTAACTATGATAGTAGGGCGGGGAGATCAAAGATCAGAAAAACACACTTCCTGCCCTTAAGCAACTCAGAGTAAGATAAGGATCTAAGAGATGTTTACGTACTTAGAAAGTTCTGGACTAAGTCTTCCAGGACCTAGGGCAGAAGTGATGGTGGTAAGTCTTGCGACCCCATGGACTGTGTAGCCTGCCAGGCTCCTCTGTTCATGGGATTCTCCAGGCAAGAAAACTGGAGTGGGTTGCCATTTCCATCTCCAGGGAATCTTCCAGACTCAGGGCCCAGGAAACAAACTCGTGTCTCCTGCACTGCAGGCAGATTCTTTACCAACTGAGCTACGAGGGGAGCCCTAGGGCAGAAGTCGGAGAAACCAAAGAAGGCTTCCTGGGGATGGCACTCTGGGATTTGGAGCCCCAAGGGCAGCATCATGGCGTGGGAAGGGGGCAGTGTGAGCAAAGGTGTGGGGGTGGGAAAGCATGAGAAACGAATCCAGGGGTTTGCCTAGAAAGCAATGAGAGAATCAGCGACAGCAGTGGGGGCAGGGCCAGATGAAGGAATGGGGCCCAGTGGTGGGATTTCCCGGGATAGAGGGAGTTATGAAGGGGACTAAGCAAAGGCAAGAGCTGCCTGCCACACAGCACAAGGGAGACGTACAAGGGCTATGGATCCCAGAAGAGAACATGAATGGTGGGAGCCAGCACCCTCTCTTGAGAGCACCCCCTCCAGATGGGACCCACAGCAGGCCCTAGATGGATAGTACCCCTAAGAGCCAATTCTGACTCCTTGATGGATCTGTTTCTTTGACTTTAACCTTTGTTTTTCATTTCTTTTGTTATTATAATCATATATAAAGACCTGCCTCAGGGAACACTGCCCCTCTGCTTGAAGAGATTAACACATTCCCTCCCTGAGGTTGGCCATTCCAGATGTTTGCAGGATGACGGTCTTTACTTCCTCACCTCCTCCCTTTCTCTGTCCTATAAAATAAGGGGCCTCCCGACCCCCTGTGTTGGGTCCTGCTGTGCTTAGTTGCTCAGCTGACTCTCTGTGACCCCATGGACTGTAGCCCACCAGGCTCCTCTCTCCATGGGGATTCTCCAGGCAAAAATACTGAAGTGGGTTGCCACCTCCTCCTCCAGGGGATCTTCCCAACCCAGGGATTGAACCCATGTCTTCTGCACTGCAAGTGAATTCTCTACTCTCTGAGCCACTAGGGAAGCCCAAGAAATACTGGAGTGGGGAGCCCATCCCTTCTTTAGGAGATCTTCCCGACCCAGGAATCGACCCAGGGTCTCCTGCATTGCAGGTGGATTCTTAACCAGCTGAGCTAGAAGACAGTTATTCTGAGACGTTACTCTGCCATCTCGGACTGGGCAGTGCTCCCAGTTTACAAATGGGGAAACGGAGGCTCAGAAACGTTAAGCCACCTGCCTGCCAATGTCACAGAGCAGAGAGTGAGCTGGGGCTACTTTCTGACTAGCATCTGTGGGAACACCACTTTTTCTCCTCCAGTGACCTCAGAACAGGTCCAGAGTCAACTCTGAGGGCAGGATTTGGACAGGGATTGTAGTATAACATCAATCCTGGATACACAGTGTCCCCACAGCCCCTATGTCCTTACCTCCATCACAGGAAGGAGGGAGTCGGGACACAAGAGGAAAAGTCACTTTTCACTGTTCAGCTGCATGTTAACGGTGCCTCCAGGTTTATCCTGGGCACATCTAGAATCAGGAAGAGCCCAGGTGGGAGAGATCAGGTTCTCTCCCCTGAGTCAAAGTCCCTTGCTGCTCGTTCATGCTCCTCTGCCTACCAAGACCACAACTGCAGTCCCTTCTGCCTCCGCAGTCAACACAGACCAGATTATGTTGGGCCTCTCTGGCTCCATCTCCAACCAGAAGTAGCGCCTCTACGGCCTGAACTGAGGGCCTAGGTGGCTGCATCTTTACCACCAGGCTCCCTAACCTGAGCCATTGTGTGTTGATTGGTCGCAAGGAGGGACCTCTGTACCAATCACACCTACCGGCATCCTGTGGTGACCTCCCCAGGCTCTCGTGCCAAATGCTGAAACACAAAATGGCATGATTATATAAGAAGCGCTCTTCTGGGATGGGGAAAACCAAAAGATGTAGTGAATCATAACAAGAAGGGATGGGTAGGGCCTGTCATCTCTAACTTGGGCCTCAAATCATTCACAAAGAAGGCAGTTGTAAGACAATTGTTCAGATGTCAGTTTAGAGGCTCATTAGGGGAAGAGATTCAGCTAGGATCAACCAGAAGCAAATGACAGCATGGGGTTCAAGCTCTGCTCTTTCTAGACAGGCTAGAGAGGAAAACCTTGCAGAGCTCAGCTGACACCTGACTGTACGGCCACACTGCCACTTACTGCTCTAATATTTGTACAAAAAAAGTTTGCTTTTTAGAAAATGTGTAGCTATTAAAAACTGCTCTTGGTATAAACACACACACACACACACAAAACTTGGGACAGATCAAGTTGGTATGCTGTGAAAAGTCAGCAGCTGTAACATTTCATGATTCAATGCATAAAATATGTTGAGTTCCTCAGCTGAATAAGTAGTATAAACAAATACTTTCTTTCTTTCTTTTTTTTTTTAAAGATACAGGGCAGGTGTTGCCATTACCTAAGGACCTCTTTACTGTACTCAGCCAGTGTTCACCTGAAGACCGAAAATGCTGTTTTTAAAAAAGCACTTAGCCTTTTAGTTTTTTAGAATTTAGGCAGAAAGCCTCAGCATGTGAGGACACAGAAACTAAGCGAGGCAAATGCAGAAGTTGCCTCTGCTGATACAATCAGCAGATCAACGACACAGGGTTGCAGTGAAATCCCCCGCTCTCCTAGAGGAGAGGGGAAGAAACCACAGAATGTTCCTGAGTCAGCACCCTAGCCTAATGGCGCAATATTTATGTTTGTGTACCTAGCGCTTCGGTGCCACCGGGGGTGGGGAGGTCGGAGGGCTTCACTAGAGCCCACGATGAGGGTGACCGCATGGGGTGTCCCCAAACATTTGTCCAGGTCCTGTAAGTCCTCTTAAAGAGCTGTAGGATTGTATTTTGAGACCAGCTCACGTTAATGGCAAGAACCAGGGCCCCAGGGCTGGACCGGGCTCCTGTTCCCAGTTGCAGGCCCCAGCCCAGCGCTTAGTAGGCGCTTAATCAGTACATATTTAGGGACTAAAGGAAAATCCCCAGGGGAAGGGACTGGCAACCCACTCCAGTATTCTCGCCTGGGAAATCCCGTGGACAGAGGAGCCTGGCGCGCTACAGTCCATGAGGTCGCACAGAGTCTGAAAAAACCACCACAAAGAGATGAAGCCGCTCAGTCTTAAGTGAACGTGACCAGAAACGTGTCTGGCGGCCCCTGCGGGGCGCTGTCGATCCGCACTGGGGTGGGGGGGTCGCCTCACTAAACGCCGAAAGCCTGCAACCCACAACCGCACCTTGCGACCCCCACCCTCAATTCAGATCTCTGACCCGCCTTCCTAGGCTCGCAACCACGTAAGGACCACAGGACTAGGATCGACATTTTTCTGCTTGGAGTTTGGTTGGACGGCATTTTACTCGTTAAATGTACATTTTAAAGCGGCAGGAAAGCCAGGGGAACAGGAATGTGTTTCCCGGAACACCTCCACCCCAACGTACCCCGGTTCTTCTCGGCTGCACAAACTCAGTTCTTCTCCGACCCTCATCTCAGTCTCCTCTCGGTCCCCTCACCCCCGGCAGTGCGATACTGGGCAAGCATAAGAAATCGCTTCTCCTCGGGAACTCGTGCTTCCTCGCCTGCTGGGTACGAGGAAATGAGAAAAGGGGGCGCATGTGCATGCAGCAACAAAGGAAACCCCTCTCGGCTCGGGTCGGCGGAGGAGCGGACGCCGGGAAGCAGCGCGGTGGAGGGGGAGGAGGGGACGCGGGGGCCGGTGGCACGCAGCCTGGTCTCCCAGGCACTCGCACACGGGAGTCAGCCCTCGGCTGGCAGAGCGCCCACCCTCTCCCCTCCCCGCTGGGCCCGGAGAGCGGCGCGGACCAGGTCCCCAGGGACGCGCCAGGCGCAGGCCGGACGGCCGGGCGGGGCCCAGGGCCCTAACCAGAGCTTAGCCAGCGGACCCCACTCGGAGGCCGCTGACGTCTTCGCCTTTGGCTGCTCCGGCGCCAAACCGGGCAGGGCGGTGACGTCACCACACAAGTCACGTGACCGTCATTCAAACAAACAATCCCCTCCCCAACAGCGCGCGCGCGCCCCGCCCCGCCCCGCCCCGCCTGCTTGCGCAGAGCCACAATATAAACGCTCTCCACCCGGTCGGACTCGCTGCGAAAGACTTCGGGGCTCTAGGCGAAGCGCGAGTGGAAGGGCCGTCGGGAGAGCAACAAGAAAGCCGAGGCGGTCGAGAGTCCCACCCAACGACCCCTCGCTCGGTCCAAAGGCAGTTTGGGTTTGGCGCAAAGAAAACCGGGGTCGGGCTTTTCCTCGAAAGCCGTCGCCCTGCTGTTCGCTTCCCGGGACAAAGAACACAGGACGACTTGCACGCTGGGGGCGCTGGGGCCGGCCATGGTCATGGAAGTGGTCTCCCTGGACGCCGGAGGCCTCCGGACGCTGCTGAGGGAGCGCGCGGCGCAGTGCCTGCTGTTGGACTGTCGCTCCTTCTTCGCTTTCAACGCCGGCCACATCGCCGGCTCGGTCAACGTGCGTTTCAGCACCATCGTGCGTCGGCGGGCCAAGGGTGCCATGGGTCTGGAGCACATCGTGCCCAACGCCGAGCTGCGCGGCCGCCTGCTGGCCGGCGCCTACCACGCCGTGGTGCTGCTGGACGAGCGCAGCGCCGCGCTGGACTGCGCCAAGCGCGACGGCACCCTGGCCCTGGCCGCCGGAGCGCTCTGCCGCGAGGCGCGAGGCGCGCAAATCTTTTTGCTCAAAGGTACGCCTTCGGGGACGCTCGGGGGCGGGCCGCACGCCCTCCGCCGCCTAGTTTGGGGACCTCTGGTTCTCAGCTCCGGGGGGGGGGACTAATCCACCTGGAGCGCTTGGGCGCCTGAGTCGCATTGTGGGAACTTGTTGGCTTTGTTTGGCTCTAGGAACAAAGACTCGACTGGGCCTCCCCGGGCTAAACTTCCAGCCCTGGTGGATGGGGAAGTTGTATGAAGGTACCCTGTCTCGGCGGTACTAATGGGAAAAAAATGTGTCTCTTTGTGTCCCCAGGAGGATATGAAGCTTTCTCTGCTTCCTACCCGGAGCTGTGCAGCAAACAGTCGACCCCCATGGGGCTCAGCCTTCCCCTGAGTACTAGTGTCCCTGACAGCGCCGAATCGGGGTGCAGTTCCTGCAGCACCCCACTCTACGATCAGGTTAGTAGGGGGCTGTGCCGGAGGGGAGAAGGAACAGCTGGCAAAGGTGGCAGAGCTGCGCTAGTGAAAATATAGAAAGTGACATGCAGCTTTATTTATAACGGGACACAGGGGGATTTTATTTATCCCATAGTTAAATGGTATGATGGAGCCGAGCCTCTAATTGTTGGCACTACAGAAATTAGCTTGTTGGCCCTGCCTAGGCAAATGGGTTTCGTCCCCTATTTATTTACACTGTTAACAACAGTGCTGAGGTTCACCCAGTATTGAAACTAGCTTGTCCAGCAGGGAGGTTTTGTGGATGTGGGCACCACCATTGACGTTGAACAAAGCTTGACCAGCGTTGGATGTTTCTGGATTTCAGGGTGGCCCAGTGGAGATCCTGCCTTTTCTGTACCTGGGCAGCGCCTATCATGCTTCCCGCAAGGACATGCTGGATGCCTTGGGCATCACTGCCTTGATCAACGTCTCTGCGAACTGTCCCAACCATTTCGAGGGTCACTACCAGTACAAGAGCATCCCCGTGGAGGACAACCACAAGGCGGACATCAGCTCCTGGTTCAATGAGGCAATTGATTTCATAGGTAAATGGAACAGATGCCTGGGTCTTTGCCACACTCCTTCTGTTTTAGCGACTGAGACAACTCTATGGCAAGAACTTGAGCGACATAGTTTTAAGCTTTCCTCTATACATGAAAATCAGTCTGGCACGGGCAGTGTCCCAGCAAAGTACAGGTTCGATGTCCCACTTTATAAATTAGCAAACTGAATCTCAGAAGGTTGAATTGATCTGTCCAATATCAATCTGCTTAGTGGCGATGCCTTGCTTGGGTTTAAATCCCTGGCTGTTTAAATCCACTGTGCCCACATTGCCTTCACAAACAGTATGTCTGTGATGACATAAGGTGATATTGACCATCCTGGACAGGACACATGTGACATTTCTTAGACACCTGGGGTTGGTTGGGGTCATTCTCCTGGGCTCTCAAATAACCAGCTGCCCTTTGTTTTCCAGACTCCATCAAGAATGCCGGTGGAAGGGTGTTTGTGCACTGCCAGGCGGGCATTTCCCGATCGGCCACCATCTGCCTCGCTTACCTCATGAGGACTAATCGAGTCAAGCTAGATGAGGCCTTTGAGTTTGTGAAGCAGAGGAGAAGCATCATCTCCCCCAACTTCAGCTTCATGGGCCAGCTGCTGCAGTTTGAGTCCCAGGTCCTGGCCCCCCACTGCTCGGCAGAGGCGGGGAGCCCCGCCATGGCTGTGCTTGACTGCAGTGCCTCCACCACCACCGTCTTCAACTTCCCGGTCTCCATTCCGGTCCACCCCACGAACAGTGCACTGAGCTACCTTCAGAGCCCCATCACGACCTCTCCCAGCTGCTGAAAAGCCACGGGAGGCGATCTTCACAACCCACCAGGATTCCAGGCTCCTTCTGGAAAGTGGAAATGCAATAACTGCAGGGAATCGGGCTCGTGAGGGCTGGTCCTTATTTATTTAATTTCACCCAAGTTCCACTGGGTTCCTGAGCAGTTGTAATGATGACTTCGCGCCAAGATGTTTGCTGAACTCAGCACATTTCGGGACCAACATACAGTGGGTACATCAAGTCCCTCGGACAGAAAGGGGCAGAAGAGAGAGGACTCAAGTGTGAGAGCCAATTTCTTTTTGCTTGTTCCTGTTTTCTGAAGACACTTTTCATGCTTGACATACCTACCAGTATTACCATTCCCGACAACACATATACATATGAGAATATACCTTGTTTTATTTATTTTTGTGTAGGCGGTCCACCTTCACAAATGTGTCTACTCCTAGAAGAACCAAATACCTCAATTTTTGTGTTTGAGTACTGTAATATCCTGTAAATATATCCTAAGCAGGTTTGTTTTCAGCACTGATGGAAAGCACCAGTGTTGGTTTTGTTTTGTTTTTTAAGTTGCCAACAGTTGTATGTTTGCTGATTATTTATGACCTGAAATAATATATATCTTCTTCTAAGAAGACATTTTGTTACATAAGGATGACTTTTTTATACAACAGAATAAATTATGGCATTTCTATTGAAATCTCGATGCTTTATTTCTTGGTCAGTCCCTCTGACTCCTTTCCCATCACTGAAATAGGGGAAAACAAGGTCCTTCAGAATGTGTTTTGGCATCTGATCCCATACTCCTTGGTGGCCCCTCAGTCCCACGAGATGGCTGGGTTGCCAGGGTGGTAGAGAAATGTGATCAATTATTTTAAAAAAGTACTAGAACTAAGCTCTTGGTATTGAATTCAAGTGTCTGCCTATGTTTTTCCCAACATGTCACACAGGGAACCCAAGTGTACCCAGAGCCAAAGCTAGGAATAAGTGGTCATTTGCTTGGTTGCTTTTTTCATTTAATACCTTCCCAGGATAATCTTAAAAAGCCTCCCTCCCTCCTCTGATCTCTACTAAAGAGGTAAGAGTTTCCCAGTACATTTGCCACAAGTGTGTTTCTACTATGTGCAAGGTGGGCTGTGCTTACCCCAGAACAACTCAGCAAATGATAGAGACCCAGCATAGCTAAGTAACATGATTGGGGGAATTGGGCCCCATTTCTGTTTTGTTTCCTAATTTTATGGCCTTTTTATTTTATCACTTGCTTCTCACGCGCTCTTTTCCTTTTGAAAAGACCTTGATTAATTGTGAAAGGAATACCAAGCACAATAAGCCAATACAATGCAGACAAGTCACCTGAAGCCCCACCCCAGCCTGACCTGTTCCTGGGCATCTCCGCACCTGTACCCAGCATTTCTGGTGGCTGCCTCCTTCAAGTCACTTGCCCTGATTTCATAATTTTGTTGAAGAAGATAGACAATTAAATCTGACTTGCTCTAGGGCAATATTCTGGATTTTCACTATCTTGCCAAGCAGCCTGAGACAGAGAAGGAATGTAATTGACTACCAAACTGTCAGCCAGTCTTTAATGTTGAATTAAACAACAGCTAAGCTTATGGACTGCTGGCCCCTCAGCCCCTGCATTCCTTTGTTTCTGGATAAAGTACGTAGGAAGCCAGAAAGCAAACAGCTTACTTTAGTCTTCCAGGGGTGCCCAGAATAGTGGTCTTGGTCCAGCCCCATTGTTCAAGGCCTTGACGCAGAATCAGTGTCCTTGACCTTTCTCCACTGGTTCACCATGTACCACTTGACTCCCAGGGCCTGAAAGATTCCTGTGTTCCCTGTTCTGAGAACTTACCCTGGGCCGGCAAGTTCACTTCCTCGGCTGGGCTTCCGATTACAAGTGTGTTCACGCCTTTCAAAACAAACCATATCCAGCTTTGTTTTGTTTTTTTTTATCAAACCCTAGAAATTTACTGTTGCAAATATCTCCCTTCATGGAAACATACCAGCGACTTCAAGTCCATGGCAGATGCCACGGCTGGCATCGCTGTGGGCTTGAGCCATCACTTTATGCTTGGCAGGCACCGGCTGAACCAGAATTAATCTCAAGTATGATCCACACAGTGGAAAAATACAGTGGCTGCCTAAGGGAGCCGTCAGTGAAAACAATTCACTCACTTATCCCAGTGCAAGCTACTTAACCTCCCTCCAGCCAGAACAGCCAGCATTGTAATAAGCCCTCCTCCCTGTGTGTTCAGTCCCTGGTCTTCAGGCCCTCCAGAAAATGTCACTTGGGGCCTGAGACTGCTTTTATTAGGAAGGATGAAGTGACGTGAAGTGAAGTTGCTCATTTCATGTCCGACTCTGCGACCCCAAGGACTGTAGCCCACCAGGCTCCTCTGTCCATGGGATTTTCCAGGCAAGAATACTGGATTGTGTTGCCATTTCCTTCTCCAGGAGGTCTTCCCAACCCAGGGACTGAATCCGGGTCTCCTGCATTGTAGGCAGATGCTTTACGGTCTGAGCCACCGGGGAAGTCAAGATAAAAATTACCTAAGATGAGAAGAAAGATGCTTAAGCTATTAAAATGTTTCTCAGCTGGGAGACTGACATGGGGACAACTCAATCATTTAATACTGATAATGTAATAACAGCTGTCAGTTTTAGAACTGGTGTTCTGTGCCAGCCACTGTACTAACTGCTTTCCATAGGATTGAATTTAACCTTTAAAGCAAAATCCACTTTACAGAGGCGGAAACAGAGGCTCAGAGAGGTGAAGTGACAGCCCTGTGATGGTAGCTCAGGGTCATCCAGCAAGTAAACGGCCTTGCAGAAATGGGAACGTGGGTGTAAAAAGACTAGGGAAGGAAGCTCCAGTTCAGTCCAAAACACAGCTCATGGGAGTGAGGAAAAGATGAGCTTTATAGCCAACCAGGCATCACCATGGTTTTACCCCATGATACTGAGGTGGAAAAACCATTTATCCCTTTGGGCCTCACTTTCCTCATCTGTAAAATGAAGATAATAAAATCTATTGGACTTCACCTGGGAGGGAGAGATAGGCTCTTGAATGTAGAAGTGCCTGGCAGGTTGTGGGCCCCGGAAAAAACGTCAGATTCCTTTCCCCTCTCCTGATGACCACTAGCGGTTCTTGGGGCCCAGTTTTCCCACCCAGAAAATGACCAGTTTGCACTGAATCTAATGGGTAAGCTTCCTCCCAGCCCTCTAATTCTAGGACGTAGAATATGCATCAGTGCATACTTTATGCTTTCCTGTGGTTTCCAGGCATCCATTATTCCATTAGGAGACTACCAACCCCAGATGCTTCCACCGCATCCTCTCCTTTCTTTGGAATTTTGCAAATCGCAGCTAATTTGCTTTTAGACTTGGAGCCTCCGGCCTCCATTTCCCTCCCTCCCTCCCCTGGCTCCAGGCACATGACATCATGGTGTGTATACCTTTAAGATTATATAAATCTGTGATCACACAGCAGCCTCCATCCCCATGGAAACGCGGAGGAGTTTCCCTTTTGTGAGGAAGGCTGTCATGTCACTTCCTGCTGCTGACAAATCAGTTTAGGAGATTAAAATAAAGGGGTGGGGGGTGGCGGCGGGAGCGGCCTCTGAGAACTGCTGGCTCGGTGCTTTCCGGTTGCCAGACACAGAGCCAAACAGAGCCGGGGCCGCGTGGGGCGGCCCCGCCCAGCGCCAGCCCCGGCTCAGGCTTCCCACACCTCGCCGGGCGGACCCAGGTCACCCGGGGCTGTTTTTCTCCGCAGGTTGCATTCTGAGGAGCAGGTGGGAGGGCTGCCCACTTGTGGGGACTTTCCTGGGGCTGTGCAGGGCGAACTAGTTGGAGAAGAGCCTCGGGGTCCAGAAGAGCCTCTGCTCCCCTTTATGGGCTCAGGGGGTGTCTTCATCTTCCAGACAAAGCGAGGGTAGCACCACGGCGCACACAGCTGTGCCCGTCAGGGGAAATACGTAGAATCACCTTCTTTTTGACTGTGGCTTTTTAGGTTAAGCGTAGTCCTTTCGTTCCTTTGTTCATTCATTCATTTTTTTTATTCATTCATTCAACAAATATTTATTGACTCTCTACAGGCCCAGGGATGCTTTGGTGCTAAAGTTGCTGCTCTCAGGTAGCTAACAATGGTGGTGTTGGGGTGTATAAATAATTGAGACATAAGAAGGATGAAGGCTCTGAAGGTCAGATATTAAGAGGGGATCCCTTAGATTTTGCTGATCAGGGAGGCCTCTCTGATGGGGTGACTGGTGAACCTAAGACCTGAGTGATACAACCTATTTGAGAGGTAAGCTGGGAAGAGGATTCCAAGCCAGGAGGGCAGTAAAGACCTGAGGTTTGAGACAGATTTTTGTGGACAGTAGATAAAGCACTTGACTTGTAGTCAGCTAGACCTAAGCTCAAGACCTGCTTCTGCCACTTGTTAGTTTTGTGACTTACTTACTGTGGGTAAGTTACCAAACTCTTTAAGCCTCAGTTTCCCCATCTGTAATATGGCCAATAACCTCTGACCTTCAAAGGCTTTTTAAGGCTTAAATGAAAGGTGGTCACATCTGGGCTCATCAGAGAGGCTTAGGAAAGGCTCACTGTGCTGTGGTGACAGCTAGTTCTCATTCTGGCCCCATTCTGTCACTTGCCCGGCAGCAGCCTTCCCCAAGGAAATGGCAGCCCACTCCAGTATTCTTGCCTGGAGAATCCCATGGACAGAGGAGCCTGGAGAGCTACAGTCTATAGGGCTGTAAAGAATCGGACATGACTTAGCGACTAAACAATAACAACCCTTCCCTAGAGTGTCCTGGTGCAGGAAAACGGGGAGAAGTGAGTTGTCTTGCCCCATGTCTGGGCCCCAGGACTTATTCTAAGGGTTAGGGAGCAGCAGGTACTTATACATGTCTTTTGAATAATGGAGTGAGAGACCATCCCCTAGAAAGTGCTCAGTAGATGTTTGATAATATCCCCCAAATCTGAGACTTTGTTTCATATGCCTGAACAACTA